AAGCATTTTGAAATTGTCTTTTATATAAGAGAGAAGAAGAAAAGAAAAATATGTGTATAGATTTTTTTCTTATGTGTGCTTATGCAAATCGATAGATTTGTTGGTGATACTTTATTTTATTTATATATTTTATTATTTTACCTAATTTGATTATTTTTGTTTCTTTGTTGCTGACTCATTTATTGTGATGATAATTTTTTGTTACAATTTTTCCCCAATAAATAGTGCATATTCTTTTTGTTTTATGGACGATAATTATTTTTTTATTTTGTCACCATTTATTTTCTGTGATTGAAGAGATTTTCAAGTAATCTTTAATATCTTGATGATGTCTTGGTTGTTTGTCATCGTTATCCATTTTAGTTATTCAGTAGTTTATTATTAATTGTTATTATTTTTTGGTTGAATTTTATTATATTTATTATTTTTCTTTGCTATTTTTTCTTGCTTACAAGTATTAATATCAATGGTGCTATTTCTAAATTAGTTTTACTATTAATATTTCTCTCGCTTGCCCTATTTATTTTATTTTTGAATGACTCTTTTTAATTTTTTGGCTAAGCTTTATTGTGGTTGTTTTGTATGCGGACGTAATTGATTTCGACAATCATCATGTTGGTATAATTCTTAATTATTTTGCTTTGTTTAAGTTTTGATTTCTTATGGATTTCTTTCCACTCATCTTAACATATATTGTATACTGATGGTAATTTTTTTTTTCCTATTGTTTATATTTGTTTAACATTTTTTTAATCTTTAAAATTTATTATTTTTTGAGATACCACGACATTGCGTCTTTAGGGTGTCAACATAGGGGAGACTCCTTTTTTAAAAAATCATTCTCCTTAAGATTTTTTTTTAATTCTCTAAACTAGGCGCTTTACGCTGGGATTTAATCTCACAAAATTTATAAATTAATACGTAAAGTCTATCAGTCATTAAAATTAAAATATTATATTATTTTACATATAAGATTATGCAGTAACAAACATTAATAATGTAAAGAAAACTAAAATTTATTACTTCTTATCATTTATCCTTAATAACATTTGCATAAATTAATGACTTTAAAAATACATATCAAGAGTTGTAACATAAGCAATGGTGTTAGAGAGTCACTTAATAGGAACAAAGTATACAAATATTTAATTGTGAAGAAGTAGAAGAGGTTTAGAATTTTGTTGTTTAAAATAAGAGGAAATCCTTCTATATATAGACAACAAAAGTTAGTGTGAACAAATGTTGATTTTGTCTTATCGGAAATGTTACAACTATCTGGACAAGTTGCAACACTTCGATAAGGTCACAACATTTCAAAAAACTCGTAACTTTTTCATATAAGTTGCAACTCTTCATTAAAGTCACAACTTTTTATAAAAAGTCTCAATATTTCGTAAAAGTCGCAACTCTTCATAAAAGTCTCTACTCTTCATGAAAGTTGTAACTCTTCGTAAAAGTCACAATTTTTCATAAAGTTACAACTCTTCATTAAAGTCGCAACTCTTCATAAAAGTCGCAACATTTTATGAAAAGGAGAGACTAGTTTTTGAAATAAATAAATTTAAAAGTTAATTCCGATTTGAGGTGACGTCATGTAGGCGGGCCTAAAATTTTCTTTTATATATATATCTTGTAAAATTGATTGATTATTTTTGTGAGTCACCACGACATCGCGCCTTAAGGGATGTAAAAACTATTGACATAAACACCATTGAAGTCGACCAAAATGCAATAAATATTTTCAAATTGATATGCAAGATAAACATAAAAATTTAAAAATTCTAGGCATTATCCATAGCAAAACTTCATTAATAATGAGGAATCAAAACATGTATCAAATGGGTCATATTTCCAAAAGTTTTAACAAAAATCTCAACGTAACTGCACTATTGCAGTAAAATAATTAAGTAGACTAAAAATTACAGAAAACATGATTAAACTTACTTGAGAGGATGAAGATTGAAGAACATTCGGTTGAACTTGAGGAAGAGATTGAAGTAAAAATGACCCACTCCAGCTCGTTACTAAATTTTGAGCAACGGTTATGGGATCTCACAATTTTTTTATGATTTTAATTATAAAAGATGAAAAGATTGGTTATTGGAGAAAGGTAAATTTTATGAAGGTTTATGATTTCAATAAAGGGAGTATATGAAAATCGAATAGGCACATCGGTGAAGGCATTCTCTGAGAACGTTTTGAGGTTTTCTCGAAAATGGGTTTAAAAGATTAAATTTTATTAAAATATTTTTTATATTGATATTGTAACTATATTATTGTGGGGTGAAATTTATTAATGTTTGAAGTGTTAGGATGAAAATATTTTTTAAACGTATTTTATCCCCCATCCCCCCAATTCTTAAAGTGATGAAAAGTTCCATGCCTCCATAACCCAAGACGACATTTTAACTTTCTTTTTGTAACTTAACACCAAAAAATTAATTAATAAGAGAAATGAAGTGTCTATTTGTTAAACTATGTTTTAGGAGTGTCCTCTTTTGTAATAATTCTCTTATAAGTCATCAATCAAAAGTCAATCCAAGCAAATTTAAAGTTTGATTTTGTGCCCTATAACTGATAAAGAACTATATATGATGTGTCAATTTAATGTAACAGTCGATTTGCTTCAACTTTGATTATTAACCAATTGCTGCTAATTTCATTTGTTTGAGTCATTTTCATTTTAGTGAGACTAATAGAACTGCTACTAATTTTATGTATTGGCACTTCTATTTCTTTTGTAAACTATTTTTGTACATACCTAAAGTATATATATTTTTTATTGTCCTCATAAAATTAAGAACGAAACCTTTTGAGACTATCAACTTCAACCAGGCGAGCCACGACAAGTCTTGAACTTCAACAAGTGAAATAAATATCAGAGATCGTATAAATGGATAATGTGTATATCTAAGTGTTTCTTTAGAAAATATGCCAAAAAAAAAATTGTTTTAGATAGACTCTACTATGAAATTTGATGTCAACTATTTTACAATATGACAATGACACCAGTCCAATAAGTTTTATGTTTTATTTGCCATGCGTTACTTTTTTGTTCTTTATTACTATCCTTAGTTATCAAATAACTATTCAAATCACCAAAAAAAATTGATCATGGATGAATATACAAAGAGTATGCACTAAGTACGAAATAGAGAAATAAAAGGTTCATATATATTCTACGATTTCATATATTATAATCATCCCACAACACTATTGTTGAAGAAAATTATGTTTGTTGTTTCTATATACAAGAAGATCATATAATCACGTACTAGAGTCTACCATAAAGATTGCATAAAAATGTAACAGATGAATATTTTTTATTTTTTTAGTTACGTTTATAAATTAACGTATCCTCTTTTTTTTTGGAGGTGCAAAAGAATGAGTTTGATTCTGCTCATGGCATTAGGCAGATAAAGTGTTAGCAAGTATAAGGACGAGTTATGAGTTTTTTTTTTCATACTATGAATAAGATTTAATAAGTTGTAATACTTTAAAATGTTATAATTGTTGCAAGTTTCATATTTCTTACCATCTTAGATAAGATTAATTATAAAAGTTGTAGTATTTTTGTATTGTTTTTACTTGAGGAATTTCTCTGGTTTATCCAGTTGAAATTAATATGTTTAGTTTTGGCAACTCCCAAATGCCTACTTTACTGTGATGCTCCTCTATATCTATATCTATATCTATATCTATATCTATCTATATGTTTAGTTTTGGCAACTCCCAAATGCCTACTTTACTGTGATGCTCCTCTATATCTATATCTATATATATATCTATATCTATATCTATATCTATCTATCTATCTATCTATATATCTATATATATATATATATATATATATATATATATAGGTGTTGCATGTGGTTACAAGTTCAGAAATTGTAGATTATAGTAAAAAGTATTGCTTATTTAAGCCAAAGTTGGAATAATAATCTTAGCACGAAATAATATTGCAGATTCATTTGTGAATGTTCAATGTGGATCGTGATATATATCTCTTATTCACTCTAATCAATTAAGATGATCAATGAAAAATTTTATTAGTTAAATGCAGTAATGAATATATTTGTTTCAATTTGATGAGATTCAATCATATAATTTTTTGTATCTTCCTAATATTATCTGATAGACGATATGTGTTTTGTACTTTTTCTTCTCATATACCAGATATGTTTTGCACATGTATTTCATGTTAAATTGTTTAGATATCTTATGAATATGTGAACTAAAACAACTACATTAACTAAGAAAAGTTTCCTTTTTCTACCAATAAATAAAAATAAAAATTAAAGAACATATTGAATTTGTGAAATCATATGTATAATCACATGTTCATCTTACACGCAATAAAGATATAGTTTATATACTTGTAAATGATTTTCAATCTATTCAACCAAGCATGATTCGTCAAAGGAAAAATAACAATGCTGTATTATCACATATATAGGAGCTAAAGTAATGTGAAGAATTATTAGTCAAAAAGTTAATATAAAGAATGAGAAAATATAGAAATAATTAATGTAATAACTAGATAATTTATAATATCATAACAACTGAAATGCAAAGAAGAGGACAGAAGGTGACCAAGGCTGCCATAATACATATATATATGTGTGCTGATGATGTACATGATAGAGTTTGAATACTAATAGAAAAGAGCTATCCTAATCAATAAAGGATGTTGAGTTTACATAGAAGACTTATTGTCATCTAACACCCTCTGGCAAGCACATGTCGGGTTTGGAGACAGTGAGCTTGGATCATAGATGAGCAAAACGAGGGGAGCTTAGAGCTTTAGTGAACACATCAGCAGTTTGATCAGTGGAAGGAATGTACTTAATACAAAGCTGGTCACGAGCAACCTTTTCGCGAACAAAGTGATAATCAATTTCAATATGCTTCGACCTTTGATGAAAGACAGGATTGGCAGTGAGATAAATGGCACTAATGTTATCACAGAATAACACAGGAGGACAAGGACAAGGCAATCAGAGTTCCTTGATCAAACTAGCTATCCAAGATACTTCTGATGCGGCAAATGCAATGGCACGATATTCAGCTTTAGTGCTGGACCGAGCTACTACCTTTTGCTTCCGTGAGGACCAACTGATTAGATTAGGACCATAATATACAGCAAAGCCATGATGAGAACGACGATCATCAGGATTAGCAGCCCACCCTGCATCACAGTAAACATGTATAGTAGATGAAGTGGATGGAGTGATGGAGATACCATGCGTAAGGGATCCTTTGAGATAGCGAAGGATCCGTTTCACGGCTTTCCAATGATCTAATGTAGGATTCTGCATGTATTGGCAAACACGACTAACTGAGAAGGAGATCTCTGGTCGCGTAACGGTCGCATACTGAAGAGCGCCAACAATGCTCCTAAATAATGATGGATCATCAAAGGTTTCACCCTGTTTGGACAACTGAAATGTGGTGTCCGCTGGAGAAGGAGAAGGCTTACAATCTGTCATTTTTGTTCGAGTGAGTAAATCTCAAATGTAGCTAGCTTGAGAGAGATGCATCCCAGATCTGACACGACTAACTTCAATACCCAAGAAAAATGAGAGATTACCAAGGTCTTTTAAAGAGAACTCAAGATCAAGAGATTGGGTGAATGAGGATATATAAGAGGGATCACTACCCTTTATGATGATGTCGTCCACATAAACTAAGAGGTAGGTCGTGGAGGAAGGAGTATGACGGACAAACAAGGATGAGTCAGAGTAACAACAAGTATAACCATGCGATAGGAGAAACGTTTTGAGCTTGAGAAACCAGGCGCGAGGAGCTTGCTTTAGTCCATATAACGCTTTTGACAAGCGACACACAAAATGTGGGTGAGACTTGTCAATAAAGCCTGGTGGTTAAGACATGTAAGCAACCTCCGTAAGGTCACCATTAAGGAATGCATTGTTAACGTCTAATTGCTTAAGAGCCCAACCTTTAGTCACTGCATAAGATAAAACAAGTCTGATAGTTGAAGGTTTGACAACTGGGCTGAATGTATCATGAAAATCCACCCCCTCTTCTTCTTCTTGATGAAAACCTTTGGCAACTAAGCGAGCTTTGTACCTTTCGATTGAACCATCTGCTCGTCACTTAATACGGTATACCCATTTGCAACCCACCACATTTGCAGTGGGAGGGCAGGGAACAAGTGTCCAAGTGCAATTACAACGCAATGCTTGATATTCAGCTTCCATGGCGCACAACCACTTAGGAGAGGATGCAGCTTGCTTATAGGTTTTTGGTTCACTTGCTATAATAGATGAAACTGGGGTAGGATGGCGAGATACAACAAGTGTTTTAGGCTTGAGGGAATTTGTTTGAGCTCGTGTGGTCATAGGATGATTGGAAGAAGTAGCAGGCCGGAAATATGTGGGAGCATTCTGATATGTGCTTGAAGCAGAGGACGCGACGGTGGGCGGACATGTATTATGTGGTGGAGATATTGTGGTGGATAAATGAGGTACTGGTAGGACTCGAGTTGGTAGGGAGGATGAGGAAGGGGAATCTGCCAATGAATGGAGTAAAGGTGAGGCAGCAGATATGGGAGACTCATTGGAAATTGATTGTCGAGAAGTTAAGGATGAGGGTGGTGAGTTGTCACTAGAGCAAGAAAACTTGCTGTAATGAGGATAGGAAAATCTATCTTCATCGAACGTCACATGACGAGCAATGTACATCCTATTGGTGGGGGGATAATGACATAGATAACCTTTATGCTTCGAACTATAACCCAAGAAGACACACGGAAGAGAGCGAAAATCAATTTTATGATGATTGTAAGGACGTAGAAAAGGGTAGCATAGACACCCAAATTTTCTAAAGAGTTGGTGGTCCGGTGGATGATGATATAGAGCTTGATAGGGTAATTTAAAGGATAATATGGGAGTGATGGTACGGTTATGTAGGTATGTGGCGGTAGAAAAAGCATGCTCCCAGTATTGATATGGAAGACATGCGTGAGCAAGTAAAGTTAGTCCTTTCTCCACAATGGTGCGATTACGTCTTTCTGGAGCCCCATTTTGTTCATGAGTGTGAGGACAAGAGAGACGATGAATTATGCCGATGGATTGGGCATATGAAGACACATTACAATACTCCCCACCCCAATCAGTTTGCAAAGTTTTGATGTTTCTGCCAAATTGTGTGGAAACCATCTTATGAAAGTATTTAAAAACATCAAATACTTGTGATTTTGTTTACAAGAAAAATATCCAAATAAATTTAGTAGAATCATCAAGAAACTGAACAAAATACTTGTTTCCATTAATAGAAAGATGCGGAGAAGGCCCCTAAACATCATAATACACCAAATCGAAAGGGAATGAACTACGACTTGAGGAAGATGCTAACGGGATCCTATGACTTTTTCCTAATTGACAAGATCCACAAACTGCAGGCATTTTGTTGGAAGTCACTGGAAGATTAAAACTAGAGACTAGACGACGTAAAAGTTGCTCATGGGGATGACCAAGGCGTTCATGCCACGCTTGGAGTGATGCTCGAGATATGACAAAGGCGCGAGGAGTTGAGGATGAGATAACAGGAAGCCCACCACCATCGAAACGATATAAACCATCATCAATTGACCCGCGGAGTAGTATTTTTCCCTGAGGATCCTTCACAAAACAACATGAGGGATGAAATTCCATAAAGACATTATTATCTTTAGTAAATTGAGAAACACTCAGTAAACTCTTGGTGATGGAAGGAACATGAAGAATTTTATTAAGATGAAGAGGTCGAGTAGCACAAGAAAGCTTAGAGGAGCCGATGTGATTAATAGAGAGTTTTTGGCCATTACCTAAAGCAAGCTGATCCTCACCATTATAGTCCATGTGAATAGATAGTTGAGACAAGTCTGACGTAACATGATTAGTAGCACCTGAGTCCGCAAACCAAGAATTATCAATAATAGCTGAAGGAGACATCATAGAATTAGTCGAGGGAGTAACCATATTGGCTTGTGGACGGTTAGAGGATCGGGTTGGTGGGTAGGTATCCATGTTGTTGCGGTTGTAGCAATTACGAGCATGGTGGTTGGGTTTCTCACATATTTGACAGATTATGCGAGGTGATGATCTATTAGAGGAACGAGGGGGGTTGGTATTGGTCGGGCGAGTGGAGGATTTCTGAGAGGTGGTGACACTTTGTTGATTAGGATATCCAGTGATGGGGGAGCGGTTGGAGTATTGACGAGATATGGCATTGGCTTGAAGTTGGAAGGATTTAGTTTCCTCAGCCAGTTTCTCCTCTTCTTGGAGAAGTAAACCAAGAAGTGAGTCAGTGGTGAGGTTATCAAGGTGAGGGTTAATGGAAGAGCGAAAAGGTCCATAGGAAGAGTCTAGTGTGAACAGAATAGCACTCATAAGTTCTTCATCTGTTATGGGACGGGCAGCAAGGGCTAGACTATGGGATATAGTTCGTTTCTTGTCAACATAGTCCATAATGGTTGAAGAACCCTTAGTGGTGGTTTGGAGTTGGTGGCGAAGTTGCATGACGCGAGCTCGGGATTGAGATTGATAAAGGTTGGAAAGATATGACCAAGCTTCACGAGTGGTACGAATGTGCATTATGTAAGGTATGATAGAATGGTTCGTGGTAGTTTTGAGCCAAAGAAGAGGGATTTTGTCCCGCTTCTTCCAAGCCGTGAAGGCTGGATTTGTTGTGGATGCAGAGGTGTCCTGAGTAGTGGTTAAGATAGTGGCAGATGGAGAATTAGTTCCATCAAGATGACCCTCCAAATCAAAGGCTTCAAAGGCAGAATATACGGTAGATTGCCAAAGGTAATAATTTCCGCAATCAAGTTTTATCGGAAGGCCGGGAAGGGCAATTATTTGGGAGTTGGAGTCAGTTATGGAGAGATGTGTGGAAGAGGATGAATGTGGCTGAACGGCAACGACAATGGACTGGTTGGGGTTGTCCATGGTGGCGGAAAGAAAGAAAAAAAAGTTGGCTCTTGATACCAAACTGAAATGCAAAGAAGAGGACAGAAACTTGGTCACTGCTGCAGGTGACCAAGGATGCCATAATACATATATATATATATATATGTGTGCTGATGATGTACATGATAGAGTTTGAATACAAATAGAAAAGAGTTATCCTAATCAATAAAGGATGTTGAGTTTACATAGAAGACTTATTGTCATCTAAC